AAACTTGCTGTTTGTACAAGACCTCCTGCAATGTAGTCTAGAGGGTTTTTAGATGTCTGAACACGCGTTAAAAATAGCAGTACACAACTATCTTTTGGCTTACAAACTGAAGTGCTGTGGGTAGTCTCAGAGCACAAAATCTTGATTTGTACCCAGGCCACCTTCTAGTATAAAAGTGCCCAAGTAGTTTTGAAGTCACAATTACAAGTGCTTTATTTCATTATAACCACTTTATAGATGGAGTTCTTACACTTTGTACTACTTTGTTATTTTTCTTCTGTTATCATTAAGGCATTGAAACAGAATTATTTCAGTAACCGACCACCACCCACTCCAGGAAATCTGCTGCCAAGACCCAGCTGTCCTGCAGAAGCTGTAAAGGAGCAACAGAATACACTTTTAAACTTAAAAAGGAAAAGAACAGAAGGAGTAGATCAAGGTAACCTCTTAATATTTCCTATTTTTTAAAATAGGAGCTATGTACTCAAAGAAAATGTGATTTCTAGTATTTCAGAACAAAAGCTCTCAGAGTGGACTGTATCTCGGGGCACCAGCTGAGGCCCTTTAATGATATATGTTTTAGGATAAAAGCTCTAGGCTGAGAATGACATAGTTCTGTATTCTAACAGAATTGGTACCAAAAAGGCTCTTTTATGAGGACTATAAATCTTTGTTAGATGGAGTATCTAGTTCCATTAAATTCTATAATGGAGTGTGGTACTACAGAGTAAATTACAAAATATTATGAGGCCTTTAATTTTTTTCTGAGACATCTTACTGAGGTGGAAGTAACTTAACTTTGCATCAGTTAAAACAGGAAAAAAACAAGAGTGGGGCAGAAAGAGAAGCGTAGCAGGTCATTTTTCAAATGGCAGACTGGACAAAGTAAATTGAGTTCGGAAGAGAGATTTCTGTTCTCTCTTTCTCTCTCTAGTCTAAGCAAGCTAACTCTTAAGACTGCTCTGGGTAAGGAACATTAAACACATTTCTGTGAGCCTTTTAAAAGGTGGGCCTGTTCCCTAACACTTTGATAAGGAGCCTATAGTTTCCCCAGACAGTAGCATGTACTTCATATCTTCATGGCAAGAAAAGCTCCGAAGACCCAAGACCTATATCTGGCACTAAATTACTCAGACCTTCTAGTAGAGAGGCAAATACTCATTCTTAAACTTGCAGTTGGTCTTCCTAACAGCTGGAGTATGCTAGATAGCTGCTGTCAGGTTAGCATGAGCTTTTTGTTATTGCCAGTATGAGACTGTTTTGATACAACAGTGATACTTTTTAAAATGGTGATGCCTCCATGAAAGTACATTTCCTCTTGAATTCAGAGACAGCTACATTTAACTTTACTTAAAAGTAAATTTAACTTACTTTTTAGACTCTTTGACGTATTGTTTCTTAGTGTCAAATTAAATTAGTTTAAGATTCTAATCTAAAAATTTATTTACGTGCTCTCTGACTGTAGTACAATGGGTCAACTAATGTGTGGGAACTTGTCAAGTTGCCATAGCTTAGGTAATTAAAGTTTTTTAGCTACTTTTGCAACACCATGTGAGGGTCTGTGATTACTGTTTTGGAGTACATGCTCTAAAATATGCCCCATTAACTCAAGGACAGGAAAGAGGAAAAAATGCTTCCTCGAGTTCTGCAACTTAACCATTTTAAGTCCTGCATCTGACAATGAGCAGAGCTTCCAGAGAGACAAAGCTAGAACACTAATTGCTTTAGCATCTTTCAGCAAGAGGAAATCAGACTTGTGTTAAATGCCAGGTGTTTTGATATTGCCTGTAACTAAGGCATTTAGGATATTACTTTTTGAGACATTTGAGTATCTCTATGAAATGCAGTATCACTTCCACAAAGTGCTTCTTGAAGCACATCAGAAAATCAACTGTGTTCTGTTACTGCCTTGGCTGGGCTGCCAGAACCTGAGGGTATCAAAGGTAGACCCTCTAGTGTCAACCAACACTGAAGGAGAGAGCCAGTGTCAGAGCTAACAAATCTACTATCCTGTATTTCATTTGACATCCTTACATGGCATTATCTAAAATTAAAATCTTAGTATTTGTTTGGAAGAACAATCCTACAGTCTTTGTTTAAATAAAATTTCACCACAGCATGATTTTTATTGCTATTGAAGGTGGAAATGTGCTAGATAATTTCAAAGAAAAATGAGTTGCATCCCCTGAAATTCTTAGGCTGGCCTGTGCTTGCATCTTGCACAGTACAATCTCTTT